CTTTTTTTGCTATTAACATCTCCTGTTAGATTAACATCTACAAAACCTTCAAGTTTTAAACCACCAGTTGTGAAGGGAAGACAAGTCTCTAAAGAACCTTTTAAGTATCTCATGATTCATTTTACTGCCTCATAATGTTGCTTTCTAATATTGCTTATATATCAATTTACAACTACCATTGCATGGGCAATGTCTGGTCTGGTACAAACCATAGTATACATTAAAGAACCGATAATTATGGTGTATAGAATCTTATCCATGTATCCACATTCTAACTCAGTTTTTGGCAACTGGTCTTTGTTGAGCTAGAAATGATTTTCCAGAAGTGTACTTATTGGTTTAGTATTATCCATATTAAACCCATTGAGAACCTTTTTGATATACTCTATTTGTGAAAGCTTTAGTATGCCTTTGTCTTTATCTCTGATGATTCTCATGCTAAGTATTTGTTTAGTAGCTCCCAAATCCTTCATTTCAAGCTGTTTTGACAACTGCTGTTTTACTTATCAATCTCTTAAATATTGAATCTTGCTATCAACATATCATCTATATATAATAGTAGAATGATGTAGGATTTGTTAAAATATTTGACATAGCAACAATGATCAACTTGACATCTTGTGTACCCCGAACTGTACAAGAAGTTGTCAAACTTCTTATATCACTGTTTTGGAGCTTGCTTCAAACCATATAGGTTTTTCTTTAGCTTTCATACTTGGTTCTTCTTTCCTTGCATTGCAAACCCCTCTAGTTGTTCCATATAAATGTCTTTCTCTAAGTCACCATGAAAAAATATTGTTTTTACATCTAGTTGTTCAAGATGTAAATTTTCTGCAACTACTATCCCCAGAACAACTCTGATTGTTGTGTGCTTCATAATTGGAGAAAATATCTTAGAGTAGTCAATCCTTTTCTTTTGTTAAAACCCTTTTATAACAAGTCTTGCCTTAAATTGTTTGCTTTCGTCATGCTTACTCTTTACTTTGTAAACCCACTTGTTTTGCAAAGCCTTCTTTCCTTCAGGTAGTGTGGTTAGCTCCCAAGTCTTGTTCTTCAACAAAGAATCCATCTTATCCTTCTTAACTAACTCCCACTTGCTTCATCTTGTAATGATTCTTTATAAGTTTGTGGTTCACCACCATTTATCAACATGATATAATTTAGTAGAAGTGTGAACCGTTATGAGGGCTTTACAGTCCTTGAAGACTTGCGAACATAAACAATAGGTTCTTTTGGCTTTGTATCTTCTTATAGAGTAATGGGTACAGATGTGTTTGAATCTTCTTGTAGAGGCTCTTGAATTTTCTTCTACTTGGTAACATCAGGAAGCCCTTCTAATCTTATAAATTCAGATTTTTATGGGCTTGTATTTAAATCAGTTATATCTGTTTCTACATTTGATCTGTCTTTTTGTATAAAACTTTCTTATTAAAGATCACGTTCTTACTTCTAATAATCTTTTTATTCTGATAATCCCAAAACCAAAATCCATATCCTTCATCTTTATATCCGATGAAGAAATATTTCTTGGATTTGGCATCTAGCTTGTTGCGAGTATCAAATCTATATAAACATAGAAAAGACACCTAAAGACCTTTAGATGAGAGAGTTGTATTTCTTTTCCTCTCCATACTTCCTTGGGTAATCTGAATTCCAAAGGAATTGATGGTCCATAGTTAATCAAGTAAACTGCAATATAAACTGCATCAGCCCAAAATGTTTGAGGTAACCCTGAATGCAACCTCATGCTTCTAGCTCGTTTATTGATGATCTTGTTCATCCATTCAACAATGTCATTTTGTTGTGGTGTGCTTAGAACAGTCTTTTCCATTCTGATACCATTGACAATGCAACACTCTTTAAAACCTCCATTAATGTATTCTCCTTTATTATTAGATCTCAAGCATTTCAGCTTTAAACCTGATTCAGTTTCAACCATAGCCTTTCATTTCTTGAATGTTTCAAACACATCAGATTTATTTTTTAGAAAGTATACTCATACCTTCCTGCTAAAATCATCAATGAAAGTCGCATAATACCGAGAACGTCCAAGAGATGTTACTACAAAAGATCCTCATAAATCTGTGTGTACCAGTTCTAGCTTTCTTAGTTTTAAGGTCTTGCCAACCTTTAAGAAACTGTGCTTCTTCTGTTTTCTAAGAACACAACTTTCATAAATGTCTAATCAATATTTTTTAGCTCTAGCAGCTTTCCCTTCAACTAAAGTGTCCTCATCCCTTTTGACTTATAAGGCCGAGTCTACAATGCCATAACTATGTTTGTTTTTCTACTTCAGTAAAGGCAATTATGTCTGCAAATCTTATGGTTATATACAAGGTGCCGGTTTTCTTTCCACGAGCCAAAACCATTGCTTCCTTTGATACTTTCTACATACCTCTAGAAAAAAAAGATTGAATGGCCATTATTGTCAAACTGTCTAACAAAGATCAGTTTCTTCTTTAATCCAGGAACATGTCTTACATTTTGTAAGTTTCATATAGCTCCATTTATCATTTAGATTTGCATATCTCATACGCCCATGATATTCATTGGTTGTCTATTGGCCAGATAGACTACACCGTGATCTCTAAAGATATAATTTTGCATCATTTTGTGGTGTGGTGTACAGTGAAATGAAGCACCATAATAAAAAATCCAATCATCAATTGGATTTTATACAATAAGAATCAAAGTATCTTGTACCTCATCTGTTGTAGCATTCGTAGAGTCAGCTTCAGGTTTTTTTGGTTTTATGCAACTCCTCATGTAATAACCATGTTTATCACAATTCCAATATTCAACCTGCTTTATAGGTCCACACTTGCTTTTACTTCTATATCTTAATTTTGATCCACCTCTGGATGAGTTTCTATCATGTCTCCTTCCTCGAGTGTTGATGTTGAGGGCTGAACCTGAACTTGAATTTGAACTTTCACCTAAGTTTTTTCTTTGTACTTCTTTAGCCAAAATCAAATCTCAAATGTCATCATATTTTAGTTTGAATTTTCCAGTTGAGTTACTCATGACTGTTCTCATACTTTCCCAACTTCTTGGAAGTGAAGCTAGCAAAATAAGTGCACGAATCTTATCATCAAACTTAATCTTAATAGATGAAAATTGATTTGTGATGGTATTGAAGTTGTTGAGATGTTGTGTAATAGAGGTGTTTTATGTCATCTTCAAGTTCAACAACTTTTTCATCAAGTGCACTTTATTATTTGTTGAGAGCTTCTCATACATCCCAGACAAAGCTACCATTAATTTAATAGTAGATTTTTCTTTTATAACATTGTGAGAAACTCTTCTTGATAAGGATAACTGGATAATACCCAAAACCTATCTATCAAGAATTAGCCAATTTTCTTCTTGCATATTCTCAGGTTTGCTCCCTAACATAGGAAGATGAAGTTTCTTTCCATATAAATAGTCTTCAATTTGTATTTTTTAATATCCAAAATCTATCCCATCAAATTTTTTAATTCCAACACCCTTTATATCATGTCATTTTTAATATTTCTTGGATTTGAATCTGCCGAATCTAACCTGATGGATGTGTCCGGAATGACAAAAAATGTTGGAATGACACTGAAATCAGGCAAATCGGACTTTGGATGGCTTAGATCTTATCAATCAAACTTTTAAAATACTAGATGGTGCAAATGAAGCCGCGTGTTAGTTGGAATAGTGCCTACAACACACTAGATCAAAACCCAATATGCTGACGTGGCTATGATGATGTGTCAGACAAGTAAGTAATCTGAGCCCACAACTGATTACGTGGAAAATCCATGTGGATTTTCTAGCTGACATGCCATTGTTTTCGTTTACTGATGTCGTGTCAGGTGACGTGGCTGATGACTGTACAAAATTGCTGTTGTGACTACTAATTGGATGATGATTGTCGGGTCAACTTGGTTTAGTTGCAAGTATTCGGGCAAAAAAGGAGAGTATGACGCGTGGGGAAGTCCTAAAGTCAACATGCGTGGGCATGCAGATATCAATTCTTCGCTGGGTTTTTACTAATGGATTCATCTTGTCTTCCCCTAAACAATAGTATGTTCAAAAACATATTTTTAGAACTTTGATTTCTGGGTTTGGATCAAACACGCTTTTTTTTAAAAACAAACTCTGATATCAGTTGTTGGGTCATTCCAGAAATCAAACATACATAAATTTAAGTAGTTCAGCAACTTGCCTACTTCATGGAGCTATTGATTTGTATTAATCAATCAAAGAAGCAATACAAATAAATAGAAGGAGAAAAAACTTTTTTCTACTCAACTCACTCTCACTTAAGCTCTCTTTATCTTCTTTACACTCTTTATATTCTTCACACATAGTTTTTTACTAAGTGTATATATATAAACTAAGTTGGGAGCAAAGACCATAAATCATGTCATGATTTATATCTTAAATTAAGTTTTTATTATATGTTAAGTAGAAGATTATTTTCACTTATATATAATAAAGGTAAAATATTGATCGTCTCCACTGCTAACAATCTCCTGGTTTTCCTTTGTTACCCTTGTATAGAAGTTCACCTTTTCTCTATTTTTAATTTGTTTCACTTATCTATGGTGCGAGCTAGCATGTTCCATTTAGAAAAAGCTCATTTCATGCTGGAAGAGATTGTCATGAATGGTTTGCATTGACGAGACAAGCAACTCTCACATTCTGAGCCCGATAATTATACTGATGGATAAGACATCTTAATTGACTGGTCAGGTGCTATCGTTCTTTCTTGCATTCTTGATGAGCTAGCATTTTAGTTTATCCTGTTGTGTATAAATAAGCTTGAACACAGACATTTCCCCTGAAACATGAAAAACGTTGTGTTGATTTTATTGTTGTACCGGTAAAATACTCTGCTGTCTTCAACACAATTTGGTTTTCATACCTTAATCATTCTGTCCATGTGTAAAGTTCAACTCTTAAGCTCAAGTTCTCAGTGTGTAGTGGCTGCACTGTGGCGCCCTTTGCTCTATTCTAGAGGCATCCAATTCCAAGGTGAAGAAGGATTTTTAAGTTGCAGTATCATCAGCCAACATCAAATTTGCTAACAAAATATACATTTTTTTTAGAGTTACGCATAAATTGCCTAATCTTCTACAGAATAATAATGTTTCACAGCTGTATTTCCTGCCAATTGGCTACATTTCTTAAAAAACTGACAGATCAAATTGCTGCAGGCCTGCCATCTTTTCTTGGATCGCTCACTGCTGTGAGCGTTCCATGGAGAATTTGGGCATTTATAGAATCTCTCGAATTTTCGCTGTCCACGTGGATAGGGCTTTGGAGGGTCTGAACAACAAGCTGGACAATAGCTCCCCCTGCCTGAGCCAGCAACTGATGACCCCTTTCCTCCAAGAAAGCTTTTCTGTCCCCTGCAAGTTCTATGTGCTTGCCATCTATTACTGTCCAGTTTTCGTACAATACAGTATTGGGTATTAACTGCTCAAAATCAGATCACATGAAATGTCCAAGTATTAGACGGAAATCATATTTTACCCAGAGAGAAGATGAAGATGAATTGACTGTTGAAGCAAGTTTCCTACCTTGTGATAGACCCTTGGACTCTCAACTGCAGTTAAAGGTTCCATCCCCAAGACAAAATGATTAAGAAAGACTTGTATCACTGCTGGAATGATGAAAAGTCCGCCACTACCACCCATGACCCCAGCTAGCTGATCGTCCTGTGGAGTTTACAAAAGTGAGATTACAATAAATGAGGAAGTTAGAGAGGATTTATGAAATTGATGACGATACATCTGATTCAAGACCAATGAGGTCGAAACTATTGCTGTTGAGCTGCACGAATTTCTAGCTTGGTAGAGAGTAATATATCTATATAAAGCCAAACCTTGGTGATAATAACAGGAGTCATGGAAGATAAAGGTCTCTTGTTGGGTTCGATAAAATTTGCTGGAGCAGGAGGCAGCATGTCAGGAGTTATCTCTGTGGGTGCTGAGAAATCACCCATCTCATTGTTGAGCAAAATTCCAGTAGAGGGCGAGAGAACTCCAGCTCCAAAACCATAATTTATTGTTGTTGTCATTGATACAGCATTTCGCTCTGCATCCACAACGCAAAAGTGGCTGGTTCCATGATCTCTAAGCTGACTCCACCTACTAATTAAGGTCTGAAATCTTTAGAATCATGACACAGTGACAATGATACCAGTAAAGCTTTATTTATAATCAGTAGCAAGTAGTCATACCTTTCCATATTCATGTAATATTCTGGAGGGAATGTGGTATTGTCCACTATCATTTTCTGTATTTTACTGGCGTAAGATTGGGAAAGCATTTCAGACATGTATTTGGCTGTGTTTACGAATGCAGGGTCCCCCAAGTTCATTCTAACAGCAAACATGTGCTTCATTGCTTCAATCAAGCGATGAAGACCAAGATTTCCCACTGCAGCTTTAGAACTTCCATAACTATTGAGGATGTTTAAGACCTGTTTTGCATCAGAATTTAGAGAAATCCAATTCACATAATTCAATAGCTTCACAACCATGAACAGTATTGTAGTCAGAGTAAAATGCAATATCCAAATGCTGAAGTCAGCTCACTAATTAACCCTAGTTTTGTTGGACATCAGTCCTTCAAAGCCAGAGCAGAACAGCCAAAAGATCACTTGATTTTACAGAACAAAATGCTTGATTGACACAAATATGCATTCATAAGTGAGAAAATATAACCCACCAGAGACATTCCAAGTGTTCCACTTGAAGGTGGTGGCATTCCATATATAGTGTAGCCCGTAAAGTTTGCAGCTAAGGCATCCATTATATCCACCTTGTAATTCTTTAGATCTTCCATCGTTAGAATCCCACCAGCATCTCTGACATCTTTCACTAATTTCTCACCAACAGTGCCATTATAAAAGGCTTGTGGGCCTTGTTCTGCAACTGCTTCCAGGCTTTGGGCTAGCTCCAGATTAAAGCATTTATCACCAGCTTGTAACAACCTCCCATTTGGAGCGAACACTTGCTGCAACCCAGGATCATTCATGATTTTTTTGGCACATTTAGCAATGGAAGATGCAAGATAGGGAGCAACAACAAAACCATCCCTGGCAAGTTTTATGGCAGGTTGGAATAGAGTCCTCCAATTCAAACGGCCATGTTGCAGCCAAGCTTCATGGAGGCCAGCAATCTCGCCGGGAACTCCCATGGACAGGGCACCTGAATACTTGTTATTCAAGTTGTTTGCATACATATTCTATTCATGGACAAATACACCATAAAAGATGAATAAGCGGACCTTCAAAATGGGCGATGAACGTGCAATCCTGGTAAACAAAATTAAAAAAACAAAGTAGATGGAAGAAAATTCTAGTTGATTTTCTTTATTTTTTTCCCTGATGGATAGGATCTAGCGGATTTACTGGGACAAAGTGTGATGTAGAAAAGTTAGCAAGTGCTGATATTTTAGGTGAAAGAGAAGACTTTGAACCTGTGAAGCTGCCCCGGGAGCAGTTTCTCTCATGTCATAAGCTTGAGTTTTAGAAGTTGATGAAGACCTGACAATCATGAAAGCTCCACCTCCTATTCCACTCCCCACTGGATTAACAACACCAACGCACAAAGCAGTTGACACTGCAGCATCAACAGCATGCCCACCTTGTCTAAGCATTGATGCACCGATTTCAGAACACCGAGCATCATCAGCAGCAACAACACCTTGTTCTGACTCGACAATCTCAGCTTTGTTAACTTCAATCCTTTCACTGTAGTTTTTTCCTCCTCTCAGTACCCAACAAGTGAAGTGGGCTCCAAAAGTTAGCAGGCCTACAGCTGAAGTGCAAACAGTTTGCTTAGGGAGCATTAACTTGGATAATTATAGCATTTTCATGAACACTAGAAATGATAATCTGAACGTTTTGCATCTTATAGCAAAAGGCATACAGTCGTGCTCCAACAAATAATTAAAAAATGAGATAAAAATTAACAGATCTCGACAGAAACATTGATATAAGGAAATGGTGAGAACAAAAACATAGCATTTGCAATATTTGCTCAAATGAATGATTCTTTATAATTAAACATGGGTAATAACTTATCCTGTGAATCCCAGAACAACTATCTTGTTTTGGCTCTGCTAATCTGATTAAACATGCTGTTAGATGGCGGATTGTAATTGGCACAAATTATTGGATGGAGAGGGTTCCAATTATCCTGGAAACCCCACAGAACATGGAAGGAATTCTGAACAACTGTCATATATAAATATATATATGGAAGGAACAAAAACCAAACATACAAACATAGAGAGAGAGAGAGAGAGTGGTTAGTACTTGCAATAATGGTTACGGATGCAAGAAAGAAGCACAAAGCTTTGCGACTCCAATTCTTCTTGACATAAATATGATAATTTGTTGATGAGATATCAGTGCCCAATAGCGGAGCTACGATGCTCTGTCGCCCCATTATCCCTCCCTTCAACACTCAACAACAATTAGGTGTCTTGATGGAGTTTTACTGGTTGAACCAGAGACCTTTCTTTATTCCTGTGTTAGGCTGTGAGGAATAAAGAAATGAAGGGGTGGTATTTAATGTAGATTCATATGTGTACACGATTAAAATAAGATTTTCACAGGAATCCTTCAAACTTTTTCACGATATGACTAATGTGAATAGAATCTTCATTATCATTTTCTAGGATTTTTAATTTTGTCTTTTTTCAAGTTCTTCAATGTTTTATTAAGTATTTTGGGTTCTTTTCTTGGTTTTTCAAGTAGTTTTATATTTTTTTAAATTTAAAGTGCATAAATCAATCTTTCATATTTTAACTTTATTTTTATATCACCATATTTTCTAGGATTTTTAATTTTATCTTTTTTCAAGTTCTTCAATGTTTTATTAAGTATTTTGGGTTCTTTTCTTGGTTTTTCAAGTAGTTTTATATCTTTTTAAATCTAAAGTGCATAAATCAATCTTTCATATTTTTACTTTATTTTTTATATCATCATATTAAAACTATAAAAAAATACATAAAAAATCAATTTAATATTATTTTCATCTAAAAATTAATTTCAAAAATACTTTTTAAAATAGATTTTATCGAACATAGCCTTAACCGGAGCATGGAAGCCATCGGAGCAACGTTTGTTTTCTTTATAGCTTCCAAATTTAGCCACGGCAAGCAAATTACAAAACGGTCACTTTTGCATTTTGGGAGTAAAAGGTAGAAACCGGCTAATTTTAAATCCACACGGAAGGACAAGTATTATTATTATTATTATTATTATTATTATTTTGTTACATCATCCTGAACGATAGCTGCTTTGAAAAATGAAAATAATTGTACCAAAGCAATTAAACAATGTCGTAGACGGTGACGCCAAATAAATAGACCTCCACAAGTTCAAAGTAGAATAATGCACACAAAATAATTGAAAAGTACAAGGACGATTGAGTATTATTTGTAGTTTCCGAAGTTTCTTTTCCAATTTAAGAAAATAAAAAAAAAGTTACTTTTTTAAAAATCAAATGCAATAATTATATTCCTTAAAGTTTTTTGTTACTTTTTTTTCCAGTTTGAGATACAAATTTCAATTAAATTCCAACCTATAATTGCTTTGTCAAAATAATTAATCTAGTTAAATATAGTTAAATATGATTTGGTGTGAAAAATTTCATGCTACATCAGTATTTTAAAACAAGCAAGAAAGATTTAAAAGATTTAAGATTTAGTGACCCACAAAACAAACACAATGCTATAAAATAAATATTTCATACTTATACTTAATCAATTATTTAATTTAATTAAAAAATAAAAATACTTTTAAAAAACTAAATTCAATAAAGGCCTAAAAAAGAAACCTAAGGTACCCATTTTATCTTCTAAACAGTTAAAAATCTCATAAAAAAATATTGAAAAATGAAATTTAAAAAAAAACAAGTTAAAAAAAAACTCAGGATAAATCTCTTAAATCTAAACCAATCTCTGATACCTACAATCATTAAATTCTAAATCACAGCTCAACTGAAAAGCTCAACAACTTATTAAATTATAAGCTCGGCCCAACCTTGAAGCTAAATACTCAAATAAATAAATGTTGAAGAATAAAATAATAAAAATATTAATTTTTAATATAAAAAAATAGCAATAAAAAGAATCAACTTTGATAGGCAAAAGAACTCAAGAATGATGAAATTGTAAAAAAATAATTAAAAATCATCATAAATAAAACAAATCATAATTAAAATAATAAGGACTATATTTGACAGATGAAAAAAGTCTATGGGGGATGAAATTGAAAAAAAATTCTAATTTCATAAATGATCTCCAACAAAAGAAATAGTAATAAAAAAATAAAGATATAAAAGAAAATAAAATTGAAAGGTTGTGTTTGAAAATTTGGAAAGCCAACATGAAAATCTACAAGGAAAAAGGAAAAAAAAGCCACACACATCAAACTAAAGACAATTAGACCACACAAGTCACTTAGGCATGGAGGGATCACTAAGAGGCTTCGGTTGCTTCCCTAGTAGTAGGCTTTTGGCCATCAAATGACGCCATATGCAATGTTCAAAGCTTGTGGCTGCTATTTATGACTCCAATTAAATTTGAGAATAAAAAATATAATCAAATTTAAAAGACTAAAGTACCTCTATACTAAAGGATAAATTTTTCAAATTTAAAGGAAAATAATTTAAATGTTTTTAAATTAAGTAAAAGATAGAAAAGCCCTTAATGTTATTTTCCTTTTCTTTTTCTTGTAATCAAAGTTAGATTAATAATTTTACAATTTAAAAAGAAAAAAAGGACTATAAAGCCTCTAGAGACATTTTAAACAAATGTATAAAGACCTTCTTGCCTCCATCTAATTCTTCGATGACTTTTTTAACATTAGAAAAAATCTATTATACCTCTTATACAAGGCTTAATGATTTTAGAGTGAAGGCCAAAATTATCACTTTACTATTATAATTTATAATAAACTTACTCATATGCTATAATAAAAACCAAGATTAAATGATTTATGAGTTGAGATACTTTTTAAAAAAGAATTTAGGTTTCTTTAATATAAATCATTCTTAATTTTCATTTAACAACTTGAATTTTTAAATTGAAATAATTTTTTGATATGATATTAAGATTTTTTTGATTAAGTGATCATGAATTTAAATTTCATCATGTTCATCCTCTCAAATTAAAATTAAAAGAAAAACTTTAGTATAAGTTTATAATTGATTTGTAAAAATTTTAATTTTAAAGAATTTTCACTTAAAAATATATTAAAAAGTGTTATAAAACCATTCATGTGAACTTATCAACAACTAAGACTAAATGATTATTTTACATATTTTTTATGTAGCAAAAATGGAGGACAATTAACATCTTGGTTCATTTGAGCTTCAAATTTATATTGAGAGACATTTGTTTATGGCAATTAAAAATGTGATTAATATATTATTTGTATATGAAAGCAATTTATTAAAGAATTTAACATAAACTTTAAAATTGATAGATACATGAAAAGTATCTCGATTCTAAAGCACCAATCAATCCAAGTTAAACATTTCAATACTAAGAATATATAGATACAACTTAGAAAATAATTAAACTTGAACCCTAACATTAATAGATTCATTGAACGTTAAAATTTTTTGATCTGGAAACCAAAAGACCTACTATATAAAAATATAGCACAACTGAATATGAACTTCAAAATTAATAAATTTGTTGTATGTTACGTAGCTAGTTATGTAGACTTTATAGACAATTAAAGAATGACTTAACTATATTAAGGGTGATTGGGAAGTGCAATAATTGTATTTTTTTTACTTGGAAATATATCAAAAAAAATATTAAATATAGCACATCAAAACAATTTAAAAATATAAAAAGTAATTTTAAATAACATAAAAATAATTTTTACTATTTATTTAAATCACAATTCCAAACATAAGATAAACCCTAACAAATCAAGTGCACAATCAACCACTAAATTAGCCACTAAACATCACACCAGTTTATAGACATACTCAAAACCTATAGCTTTATAACAATTATTTTTAATTTATTAATTTTATTTGATACATCACATAAATCCCTACATTTGTTTTTGGTAATTTAACCCCTAATCTCTTCATTTTAATTCTTCACTTATATTTTTATGAATTGCATCAGTGATTTGTTTTCTTATTATGTTGATGTGATGTGCATGTGATTTATATTATTTATCAAATTAAATCAATTAAAATACATGTAATTGACAAAATTTAGTTAAAGATACTTAATCTTGCTTGACGTGTCAAAAAGACTTTATGATCTTCATATGCATTGTTTATGATTCGTGCGATATGTGATTTTAGGGTTTTATAAGAGTTTTTATTTATTTTCTTTTAAGATTCCATGAATAGTTGAAAAGCCCAAGGGAAGATAATAATTGAAAAAAGAAATGATTAGGTCATGCTCAGATATAAGAATAGACAAACTATCTTTTGTAGAAAATTTGTTTGGTCTCACTTATGTCGAATTAGATATTGATGTCTCAATTGTTGTATTGAGATGGAGATAGAGCAAGATTCAATTTAATTTCCTTTAAAAGAAATTGTAATA